AAGACTATTCTTAAGAGCATTTCTGAGAAGTTTTATACATACGGGACCTGGTGTTTATTCTGAGAAGCCAAGTAGAAAAACAATATTAAATCCTATTGATTTATTTTACATTTAATCATTTAGCAGACGCATTTATCCAACGCAAACTACAAATGTTATTTTAAATGTTTTTTCTTTACATTTACGATTTTTGAGGGTTGCTATTTCTCGTCCCTGAATTTGTGCACAAATGAGCTTTTCATATTTTGATTTGCTTGCAGTAAAACAGGCCTATCTGAACTTAAATGTGTACTTTGTTTCTCCGAATATGTATATCTGAAACGATCTACTAATGTCTGGATAATAATTGACACCTGAATGATGACATCGATTATAATAATGATTTGATAATTTGATAGTCTTTAACGATAACCATTGATTTGAAAATACAAAGAATAAAAATATGAGAACACTTTTTAGACCCTTAATTTTAGTCCAAATTAGTACAATTAAAAACAATGTGGTCACTAAAAGCGCTCGTTTCAATTTCTTTTTCCACAAAGCGTTAATTGCTGAGGTCCAATCAGAACAGCGGTCTGTACCACGTGTTTGAATAACACATTCTCGTCCAATCAGGACCGCTGTGTACCACGTGGTTTAATTCCGCGTTTGCGAAGGGAAGCCAGATTACAGCGGAACATCTGAAACCTCAGTTGTTCTCAAAGCCATTATTAAAAATGAAAGTATACACACAATGGTATGCAGTCGGATGATTTGACCCTGGAATGGATTTAGAGGAGGCTTACCAGGTGGTTGGAGAGTTCGGTAGACACCAGAAGCGGATGGTCACCATCCTGGTTCTCCTACAGGTAACAGATGATAGATGCAAATCTATAAATACTGGACAGACATGTGTTTGTGTAGTTAAATTCCTTTATATTGCTGATCACACAAGCCAGTAATCTATGCAAAATTTATATTTGATGGATCAAACCTTTGAAGCCATGTCATATTTGCATCTTATCTTCAGGGCATGGGATGTCTTTGCTTTAATTCGACCTAGTTTCAGTGAATTATTTACGTTAACGTGTTTACTTATGTCATTAGTTTTGGGTTTCCATTTTAAGATCCTGGAACCCGATGAAGTCTCATCCAGCAATAATATTGCTTTGTTGGCTCTGAAAACTGAAAATGCTTGTATATCAAGCAATATTTTGGATTAATTTTCAGAGTTGTATCTCCTGCTTTGATTTCCTTTCAGACTTCTATTTCAAAAAGTGTGTTCTTCCTTGCCTATTACTCAATATGAGTCAATAGTGTCTAAAAAAAAGTATTAAGTCATAAATATTTAGAAATATGATAGGAATGGAACTATTAGAACCTACTTAATATAAATAAAAATATCCAAAAATCCCAAACAATTTCTTTATAATTTGTGTGATGTAGCTTAAATATTATGTTTATGGAACCATCCATATTTAAGGGATTTAAAGTTATTTTTAAAAAAATCTATGAAACTCACCAAAATCTGTCTAATGTTGTTTGTCTTATAGCAGGTGAATATGGAAATGAAGTTATAAATTATTTTGTGGTGAGAAGGGATACAATTAACATTATAAAAGAAGTCTGTATTTTCTAAATTATCCTTTTCTACTGCATTGGTAGGTAAGATATAGTAATAAGGTTTCTTTCAAAGATGCACTTTATATTTCTGTTTTCTTCATTTGAATATATTTGAAATAACCTACATGAGTTATGGCCTTAATGAGAAATAATAAAGAGAAAATTAGATTATATTAACATTCTAGTGATCATCTCTATATCAGGGTTTTTATTTGAACTGATTTGAGATCAGATTGGATATTGTTCATTTACTGGTATAGGACACTGGGCCTAGATCATTAAAAGCTGAATAACCTGAAATATTTGTCTTGCTTTTACAGATTTACATGGCATGTCAGTCCATGCTCATAATTTTAGTGGGTGCTGTGCCAGAATATCACATAGAACGTGTTACTGGAGATCCGCATGATGATATAACACGAAGTGTGAAATTCACAGAAGACGTCAGCTCAATCGTGACCGAGGTAAGAGACTGTCATCAATTTGTCTTAAACTTGGCTCATCCTTTCAAATACAGATCACACCTATACTTGATATCAAATAGGAAAGAACTGTCTATTCATTTTTGTGTTTGGTCAGGACAGCAGGTATATGCATACATATTTGAACTGTTTGATATTCTGGTCTGTTCTGGTCTTTTTATGCAGTGGTACCTGATTAAGCATGAAGCCTACAAAGTAAACTTGGCTGGGTCTCTGTTCTTTGCGGGTGTGCTGATCGGAAATGTCCTGTTTGGACCACTCTCTGATAAGATTGGCAGGAAGCCGGTTTTCCTTACTAGTAAGATGGAGCTGAACTGGTTTCTGTTCTTTTATAATAGTCTATAATAAAACCCTAATTCTGCAGTCTGGGTAAATGTTTGATTGTAGAATGTCAGCCTTATAGTAAGTGTTCATTTTAAGTAATGTAGGACTAAAATTGGAAAATGTTTCAATTGATAGAATGTTTCATAAGAAGGGATTGCATCATTGTAATATTTGCATACTGCTTTGTGATAGGTCTTTTCTTTTTTGCATCTATTTAATCATCTATAACTGCTTTACATGTGATTTTAATGCGCAACCAACTGAAAACCAAAAGCAAAGAAACAAACAAACATAAGGCCTAAACCTTCCTAAAACAACAGTTGAATGTGTTGCTGTTCTGGTGACCTCTATTAAAACTGTTCTGTCTCAGGTCTGTTTTTTGAGGTCTTGTTTGGGTACGGAACAGCGTTAGCGCCAAGTTATGAGGTGTTTGCTGTGTCTCGGCTGCTGGTGGGAATGATGAACGGAGGAATGGCGTTGGTCTGCTTTGTTCTTACTCAGGAATATGTGGGGAAGTCCTACTGGGCTTTGACAGGTACACATGAATTAAGATTTAAATCAGTTTTGTTGTTTACTTTGACAGTAGTCATGTAAAGCTTATGTGATTGTCTGTGTTTCAGGGACCTTGACTAATATGACCTTTGCAGTGGGCATCGCTCTGTTTGCTGCGTTGGGTTATTATGTTCAGCCGTGGCGGAACCTAGCAGCTGCAGCCAACTGTCCTGGACTTTTGCTCTTCCTGCTCTGTGTGTAAGTGAGCGGTGTGGTCAGATAGCTACCTCCTGTTTAACTAACGGTGCTTTGTAAAGCTGCACTTAGTGTTGGTTTTAGGACACTTTAAGCATTTGTAAAAGTATATCTTGAACAAAAACAAAGTTTAGAAGGGTTTTTTTTTTGTGTGTTCTGTTGAAGGAAGTGCAAAAAAATGATACACACTACCGTTCAAAAGTTTGTGGTTGTTAATATTTGTAAAAGTTTGGAAGAAGTAAATTAAGACAATAAAAGTAACTGTTTTCTGTAATATGTAATATAAAAAAAAATATTTATTCCTATGGTAGTGAAGCTGAATTTTCAGCAGCCATTACTCCAGTCTTCAGTGTCACAAATTATCAAAAATTGTCAGAAAATTTGAATATGCTGATTTGGTGCGCAGGAAATATTTATTATTATCAGTGTTGAAAACAGCTGTGCTGGTTAATATTTCTGTGGAATTGTGATACATATTTAAAAAAAAAATTTTTTCAGTAATAGAAAGTTCATAATGTCTTTATTGATCAATATAATGCATCACTGAATAAAATATTACTTTCTAGATTGTTAATCTCTAAATTCATAGTGTAAATTATATTCTTTTAAATGTTTATTCATTTGTTTATATATGTGACCCTGGACCACAAAACCAGTCATAAGTAGCACAGGTATATTTGTAACAATAGCCAAAAATACATTGTATGGGTCAAAATTATTGATTTTTCTTTTATGCCAAAAATCATTAGCATATTAAGTAAAGATCATGTTCCATGAAGATATTTTGTACATTTCTTACCGTAAATATATCAAAACTTAATTTTTGATTCGTAATATGCATTGCCAAGGACTTAATTTGGACAACTTTAAAGGCGATTTTCTCAGTATTTTGATTTATTTTTAATTTTTAATTTTTTTTTTAAATTTTTTTTTTTTTTGCACCCTCAGATTCCAGATTTTCAAATAGTTGTATCTCGGCCAAATATTGTCCTATCCTAACAAACCATACATCATTGGAAAGCTTATTTATTCTTTCCTTATTTTTTTATATTGTATAAATCTCAATTTTAAAAAATGGACCCTTATGACTGGTTTT